GGTAGGCAGGTGAGAGATGAAGTGACAGCAGAGTAGAGCTTTATACCTCGGGTTCTGGCTTGGGCACCTTGGCAGAAGCACAGAGGAGGAGCTGTGGGCATGGTGAGAAGCCCCTGAGGGAATCTAAAAAGTGAGAATTCCAAGGAGAGAACCTTTGAGGACATTAATAATTTAATGAGTGAGCAGGGGAAGAGGCTGGTAGGTAGATGGCACCAGGATGAAGAGCAGAGAGGTTAATAATATCAGTCACGAGAAGTAAATTAAGAAGAAGAATGAAATCCCAGGGATATTTTCATTAAAAGAATCACTGTGATGGGATGGATGTGGAAGCCAGCTGGCTTAGGAGCCAATAGGTGGTGAGGAAATGGACACATGACTCTAGGCTGCATTTTAAATGTTGTTACTCATGGAAGAGGAGAGTTGTTGCCAGAGCAGAATGAAGGTTTTTGTAACGTTTATTTATTTTTATTATTTTTAAGTTTCCCATGGTCTATAGCAGTGTTTCCCGAAGTGTGGGTACGCGTACCCCCAGGGGTATGGGAAGAGTTTGGTAGGGGTATGTGTTGCACCGGAGTTTGGTGGGGATATGCACTGCGCCGTGCTTAGCTGTGCCTAATTCTACAAGGGGTACTCAGCATTACGAAAATTATAGAATGGGTACACATATGTCAAAAGTTTGGGAAACACTGGTCTATAGTATGCTTATGGGACCCGGGGTGCAGCTTGCGGTGGAGAGGTTGAGATATGAGAGAGGACCTCTGAGGAGGTGCTGCCCAGGTGGAGGATCAGTCTGAGCAAATTGATTGCTCCTTCTGAGGCTCAGAGAAAGCAGAGAGGTGGAGGCAGAAATAAGGCCTTTGGAAATATTAATTTGGGGGACTGAGGGAGTTTATATTTTTCAGCTTCAATTTTCTTGTTGAGGAAGGAGAGAAGGTTCCCCTTGGGAAAGAGTAGATGATGGGACTGTGGAGGGTTTGAGAAGAAGATCTGAGAGGCCACCGCGGGGAAACAGGAGAAACAGCCCAGGGGTGACACACCTACCTGCCTTTGCGTGGCAGCCAGTGGTCGCCTTTATAAAATGCAACGATCAAGACCAGTGTGAGGCAAACCGGTGAAGGCCTAGGCCTTGAAACATTAGCTGGTAACATTGAGTTGAGCTTTCTTGCCTCTACTGCCACTGCTTCAGTTAGTGCTGATGTGCAGGAAGGACATCTTGGCGCATGCGTACTGCACAGGCAAAAATGACAGAGCCTTCACTACACCACCTGCAAGCAGCCTTCCCAAGGGATGAGCACCAGTGACTGATGCACTTGTTATTGGTTTGCTTTCCAATTTGATAACAAGTTTCTTGGGGGGGGGGGGGGGGGGTGGGGGGGGGAAGAAAGATGAATCCAGGCCACAGGCCCTCCAGGATCTCTTCAATGGCCCAGTTGTGGCCTATTCACTGGCAGCTGCTTGGGAGGAAAGTGAGCTGGGGGATCGTTGGACAAACCCAACATAGGTCGCTGCCTGGGAATGTTGAAGATGCCTAAACTGCCATTGTATCCCTTCACCCAACCATTTTGTGTGGGATGTGTTGCTTTCCATCAGCTTTTGTTTGGTGATCCAAGTTCTGTCATGTTTCTGCCAAGTGCTGACTCTTAGAGGTTGGAATTAAGTGGGTTTTTTTTTTTTTTTTTTTTTTTTTTTTTTTTTTTTTTTTTTTAAAGCATTTCCAATTCATCTTACTTCTAGGATTCTAAATGATTTTAGTTAACCAACTGAGACTATCTCAGCATTGGGACACTGAGAAGTATATGGATCCTCTGCCACCTGGATTTCCTTTTCTGTCTTGGCATAGATGGAATGTCTATGGCCCCTTCACCTCCCAAGGCAGAGCCTTGGGGAATTAGGGTGAGATTAGATGACAAGGGTGGAGTCCTCTTGATGGGATTAATGGCTTTATAGGAAAACTAAGAGCCATGCCCTCTTTTTCCACGCCCTCAGACTGAGGAAAGAGGGCCATCTGCAATGAGCTCTCGCCCAAAACGGAATCAGCTAACACCTTGATGTTAGACATCCAGCTTCCAGAACTGTGAGAAAATAAATTTCTGTGGTTTAAGACATCCAGTCTGTGGTCATTTGTAATGGCAGCCAGACTTGACTAGTATAGCATCACAATGTAAAAACCAAGCAACCAATGCAACAAACAAAGGAAGTACATGGTCACAGATTTTTACCCAGCCAACATCCTTCTAACACTACTACCGTGTTTCCCGAAAATAAGACCTAGTGCTTGGAAAGATAAGACATCCCCTGAAAATAAGACCTAGCGCAACTTTGGGAGAAAAAATTAATATAAAGACACTGTCTTATTTTGGGGGAAACAGGGTAGTAAGAATCCTCCTTAGTTCTTGAGCAGCAGGGCAACTACAGGATGCGATATGATGCCATCCTTGGAGGGGAGAGTGCCCAAATCTGGCATACAGCCCTTGTCCTTGAGCCTTCCATTTCTGAAGGCTTATGTGGGCTCTTAATCATGGAATCATTAGGGTTAAATTTCAGATGGAAAATTGTATGAAACACATGCTGCGTACACTTGCTCTCAAGTGGTATTAAATCACCTTGTTATTTATCACCCTCCAGAATGCTCTAATTTACATGTGGTCTCTTCTTATATGGGTACTTCAAGTAAATCTGAATTTGTTTATACAATTTTTATGGGTACTATAAAACCACAATTGAATTTCAGGCCTTTGTAGTTGCCCAGCCTTGCAAGATGCTCTCCAATTAGAAATAATTGCTGTTAATGCTGTTATGAGTGGTGGATGCCCACTATACCCAGACCTTTGTTCTACTAAATCCCCTAAGAGTCTCTTCTTTATTCTTCCACTAAATTGACAGGCCCCTAGAATATATGCTTTTGGAATTGTAATAGAGGAGCAATATTGTGCCTCTCTGTTAATTAACCTTGTTAACCAAGGATTTGGAACTTCAGTTGGTTAGTCAGAGGGCCTTTTGATCCTCTCAGTACACATCGACAGTTGAGGAGGATGTCACTCTTGTGAAATAACATGCCTTTTCTTCTTTGGCATCTACCAAACAGCTTTATTATTCTTTGAATAATGATGCAATATTTCTGTTGAATGAAATCATGTGTATAAAGTGCTGAGATTCGTGCCAGGCAGAAGAAATATTAGCTATCATTTTTATGATCATAAAACAAGTTTTTTTTTTTGTTTTTTTTTTTTTGTTTTGTTTTTTTAAGACTTTCTGAATGGAAAGGAGATACAGGAGCAGCATTGTCAGAATCCTACGGACAGCTCCAGATAAATCAGTCCACACTGGATTCCAGACTCCACATCCTTATTGCTCTAAGAGCAATTTACCCCTAAGATACTTAAACTCTTTTCTTTGGCCTCTCACAGGGTGTCCCAAAGTTCCTCTCACCCCTTCCTGTTCCCCACACAAAAGAAAGGAGGAAACAAAGGCTGCTGTTTTTCTTGCAAGGCAGGTGCCCCATCCAGCCTGGGAAGGAGTTTCGGGGTATGGTAATGATCGCATTTTGTTTAATCTTCCTTTTATGGTGAAATCTCCAAAGCATGAATGCAGTTGGCCAGTTGATTAAACTGTAATGAAGGCAGCACTGATGAATGCAAATGCATAAAAATTGTCCATCCCATGGAAAAACATCTCAACAGGAATGCCAACTTGCAATACTAAATTAAACTAACCACATGAGTGTGTCTTCTGGATTCAGTAGGATGTCGCTTTCAGAGTGAGAAGCAGCCATTCTTCTATCTCTTTTTGGAAGAAAAATGTGGTGCCATTCAGAGTTTGATGTAGGGTCACTGCCTACCAGGGATTTCAGGAACTGGACAGCGAGGTTCCCTCACAGGGGCCCCCGATGTACCTTCAGCAGTATTGGCACTTACTCTGTGGGCATCTGGGGCAGGTAGAAGCAAGCATTTGTGTGGTTACTTTGGAAAGATTGATACAGGAGGGAGGCTGGCTTTTTCTACACCAGGGAGCACACAGAGGTTCAAAAAGGTTAAGGCGAAGAGCAAGATGACCGGACATCCAGTTGTGTATCCTCTGGAAAGAGGGCATTCGTGCTACACACTCATCGTGTGAGAGGGTTTTCTCTCTTTCACATCCTGTTGCAAGCAGAGATGACAAAAATGAGCTGTTTTATTAATAACGAGGGGCGAATTTTGTGCACTGGGGAGAGGTCCCTCAGCCCAGCCTGCCCCCTCTCACATACTGGGAGCCCTCAGGGGACGTCCTACGGATGGCTTAGGCCTCCCCCACAAAGGGAGGCCACCAGGAAGATCAGAGGAAGGCGCCAGCCCCATCATCCTGCTGCTGCAGCCACTGCCAGTCACCGCAGCCGCCAAGGTATTTTCATCAACAGGGACTCCAGTCCCTTCACTATGAAAAAATGACTTTTTTTTTTTTTTGTGGCATTTTTAAGATGTGTCTTTCATAGGATATGACATTTCTTTCTTTATTTTTCTTTTTATCCTCACCTGAGGATATGTTTCCATTAATTGTTTTCCCCCTTCCCTCTGATCGAAGGCTCGGCCCCTTCCCAAGCCTAAAGCCTCTGCCCCAGTTTTTAGGCTTGGGAAGGCCCCCTCACCTCTGATGGCTGGCTGGGAATGACCTGGGTGCTGAAGAGGTTCCCGGGACCCAGGTATGTATGAAAATTAACTGCCATCTTTGTTGGGTTAATTTGCATACTCACTCTGATTGGCTGTGGGCATGGCAGAGATATGGTCAATTTACATGTGTGTCTATTATTAGGTAAGATGAAAAAAGCACTCAACAAACAAGCAGATGGCAACATTATTTACAAAATGTATTGGCTGAATATTCTAGTCCAGATAGAAGACCAAGAATGGTACTTATCGTCTCCAGATATATTTTATCAGACAAAAATCCTTCTCTTCATTGACATAAGCAGTATGTTGGGTTTTTAGATATTGGGTTTTAGATGACATCACCCATAGAGTTGATCATTAGTTTTTTTTCTTTCCAACGAAGTGATCCATAAAATTGAAGGCGCCTATAAATTCAGTTATGAGCAGTCTCAAATTGATGGGCAGGAAACTAAAGAGAAAACAAGAGGAAACTTTCTCGATTATCATTAATAAAAGTATCGTTATAGCACAGCTGAAAAGCAGTGCCACCGACCCACCACAGAAGAATTTGCACACGCACACATTGCTCTGCATGCCCCGGCATCACGCTGGGCTTGCCTACAAGATGGGAGGACACCAGCTCAGGGTTCCTATACCTCTTCTCACTTTACATTATTCAACTCACTTCTCACGTCCATTTCCAAAGCTTCCCTTCACGATGTAATGATGGGCTGAAAGTGGAGTCAGAGGAACTTGGCTTGAAACTCAGCTCTGTTATGTACAATGTCATCTCAGGTAAGTTCCTGAGCTCAGGTAAGTTTCTCCAGGGTGAAATGAGGTCATTCGTCTTTCTTCCTGGGACTACTGTGAGGATTAGATGCGGCAGCTCCTCAGGCGGCTGGCAAGGCCCAACGAAGACTGTTCATCTTCTCCACCCCCACATGTCCCTACTGACGGAGCTCTCTGACCCTACTAATCCTGACATTCACATTGCAGAGCAAGGAGAGGGGCAGTGAACAGAGCAGGCGCAGCAAACCTGACACTCTGAGCTGAGGATGGGATAAAGTAAAGGGCCTGTGCACGCTGTCCCTCTGGGGGCACCCCACGAAACCCAGGTGGTTCCTGCCCTCCCCAGCTTCAGGTCTCTAGTAAGTGTTACCTTTCTCAGGAGACCTCCCCTGAGCGCCATATTGAAAATTAGACCTCAACCTGCAGCCCCGATCCTACCACTCTGGAAGTTCCTTTTCCTGCTTCATATTTCTTTGTAGAGTTATGACCACCCACCATACCTTCTTTTTTACTTTATTATTTTTTTGTTTGTTCCCTAATCCCTACCGACTAGGAAGATAATTTCCACAAAGGCAAGAACTCTTGTCTCTCTTATCTTTTGCTGTAACCCCCAATTCTAGGGTCATCAGCAATGCATGGCACACACTAAGCACCCTCTAATGCTTGTGAGATGTCTGAAGGAGTGTGTGCTGTGATCCCCTTCACTGAACTTCTTCATGCTTTCAAAACCTTCTCAGGAATTATGCCCCCTCAATTTGGGGCTTATCAAAGTAATATCAACTCTATAATTATTCTAAAAATTAGAAAAATTGAATCCCATGTTCTTTACAGTTGGCATTAACCTCTACTAGGCAAGTGGAGGCACTGTGCTGTGAACATGCACACTGCCCAATAAAGGCAGTACATTCGCTCATTCACAAGCTGCGACAAGCACTGATTTCTACACTATAAATGAGGAAATTGGACCTGGAGAATGAAGGTCATGTTCAGAGTCACAGGCTTAGTACACAGCAGGATTATATTAATAGCTCCAGATTTCCCATCTCCTTGCCAAAGACCCTTTTGCCTCATCCCACACCTTAGCAGTCATATTAATCATCATTCCTGGGCCAATGAAGCCTGAGGACGTGGAGGCATGGGAGAATGATTTTGGATTAATTGTATAAAGTAGATACAATTAGCTAAAGAGAAAAGACTTGCTTATGCAGGAAGGGCACCTTTTTTTTTTTTTTTTTTTTTTTTTTTGGCCAGGCTCTTCCCTGAAGCTGAAAACACACAAGAGTGAGCAAAAACCAACCGGCCTCTGGTCTCAAGGAACTCACGGCTCAGTGAGGAGGCAGATGATTATCCAAGGATCTCACAAATAAGTGCACCATGAGCAGTCCTAACTCCACGAGCAGTGAGATGTTTTAAGGAAGCCAGTGTCAGGTGCTAGGACAGTGTGCACTGAAGCCATTTGGGATATTCTGGAAGGCCAGGGAAAGGATGATTAAGGTAAGAGGGGGCACAATATGTGCAAATGCCCTGCACTGTTTCCAGTACCGTGGACTCTGCGGGTGAGGCTTCTCCTGGTAGGATTTGGGAAACGTTGTCGATTGGTACATTAGAGAAGTCACAGAAGATGACTGGTGTTGTTACCTTTTTAAAAACATCAGGATGTATAAAAATCTTGGTATATACAAGTACACTTTTTCTTGCAGGATAGCATCTACTATCTTTCTGACTACATAATCTGGTTCCAAAATCGGTAATAGAGAAGGACAGCTAGGGAGTAAAAAAGAAACAAACAAACAAAAAGCAACCAAAATTAACAAATTAATAAAAACAGTTCTTGCACATTAATCATAAAAAGACTAAGATATTATCATCTCTTTGCTTCGTTCCCTCCCAGATATACACGGATGTATAATATGGATACAAGTAAAACCATATTAAAGAAATGATCTGCCCAAACCAGTTTGTCTCAGTGGATAGAGCGTTGGCCTGCAGACTGAGGGGTCCCAGGTTCGATTCCGATCAAGGACATGTACCTTGGTTGCGGGCACATCCCCAGTAGGGGGTGTGTGCCAGAGGCAGCTGATTGATGCTTCTCTCTCATCGATGTTTCTAGCTCTCTGTCCCTCTCCCTTCCTCTCTGTAAAAAAATCAATAAAATACATTAAAAAAAAGAAGAAAAAGAAATGATCTACTAGTATAAAGCAAGTCTTTGAAAACGAATTTCCTGTCCTCTCCATGAGAGGCAGAATGGGGCCTTTGTGTTCCTTCAGTGATTTTCAGTCCTCTGTGGCATCAGGGATGAGGGGAGCAGGGAGCTGGAGGGCAGAAAGGGAATGTGACTGAGTGCTGGGGAGACAGGTGAGCAGACCCCGGCTACCAGGTGGCTGCCAGTGAGACACATCTTTGACAAACCATTCATCTTAAACTCAACATCTGAAATATTAGCACATCGGAGTCAAGAATAACTTCTGAGACCATTTATAAATCATGCTGAATCCTAGGGAAATCTATTTTGCAACAACTTTTAAAAACAAAAAAGCTCTGCTGGAATAGCTCAGTTGGTTGAGAGTTGCCCTGTGCACCCAAAAATTGCCAGTTTGATAACTTCTCTAAGTATGTCCTCAGGTGAGGATTTAAAAAACCAAAAAGTCAAACAAAAAACAGTTAGAAAAAAATAAAATAGGCTATCATTTTTTTAAAATGCAGTTTCTTTGATATTACAGGATATACTTACCCAGTAGTACAACCTTCAAACATTCCAGTTTTAATAAAAAATGGGCACACAATTGTGGTCTTGATCCCCTTTATTTTCTGGGCAAATAGTTCCATTAAAACAGATTCAGCAAATCCAACGGCTGCAAATTTACTTGCACAGTAATCTGAAAAAGACAAGTAATGCTGATGGACCTTCTGAAGCTTTAAAAGTGGCATTGCATTAACTCTCCTCAAAACACTAACCGACAGAAACTCAGACAATGATTTCAGAGTTCATGTTTTGTGTGATCTTGGTCTCCTCCCACTGGAAGAAGTGTCAAATGAACGGGAGGTACATGGTCACATAAAGTTGATGAAGACCGAGTGGATGCTGTGAGGAGTCGCCTACAGTCACCCTGCTAGCTTTTCCTTCCACATTCATGAGTGGTCAGACATGTGCTAGCTGTTGTATGGGCACACGGTGTGTGTGTCTAGGCCCAAAGAATTCCAACCCAGTTGGGGCAGGGAGGCACATAACAGAGGAGATACAGGAAGTGATGTAGCAGGCTAGACAAGAGAGGGCAGCCTGGGTCATGATCAAACTTTCTTCCGACTCTAACTCTTCCTCCCACTTTCAGAAGAAAAACAAAGGACTCAGGAGCTTGTCCGTTTTGAGCTTGCTGTCTTCCATCACTCTCACTTCAAGTAAACCTGGGTTTTCAATCTGCTGAATGGAAAAGCTTGCAGTAGGAAAGGCGTGTAGGTGAGCTCCTCTTTCCTTTTGCCTCACACAGCCAAGAGAGGTATCTGAGGTGTCCTACTTGCTCTGTTCAGAAGCGGCTACCACAACTGGCAAAAAACAGGAGGTGCCGAAACCGGTTTGGCTCAGTGGATAGAGCATCGGCCTGCAGACTGAAAGGTCCCAGGTTTGATTCTGGTCAAGGGCATGTACCTTGGTTGAGGGCACATCCCCAGTAGGGGGTGTGCAAGAGGCAGCTGATCGATATTTCTCTCTCATCGATGTTTCTGACTCTCTGTCTCTCTCTCTTCCTCTCTGTAAAAAAAAAAAAAAAAAAATCAATAAAATGTATTTAAAAACAAACAAACAAACAAAAAACACAAAAATGGAAGGCAAGTGCCGGGTGTGGGGATGTCAGGTCCACTGCTGCTCAAGAAGGCAGGTAAGACCGCAGAAGGAGGGTGGGAAGAGGAGTCCTGCTCAGCTTCTAGGACCATCTGAGTCATTTGGCACAAATGCAACTCCACTGAGTCCTTCAACCCTGGAGATTAGGGGAGCAGCGCTGGCCCAGGATGAGGGATTCTGCACTACAAACAGCCCCCGTGGTGGTTCGCATGCAGGGGAGCCAAGACCCCCATGGTGGGAATTACAAAAGGCTTACACTTGTTCCTAAGGCCAGCTGGGGATGGAAGAATCCTTCTGAAGGCAGAGAGATACAGAATCAGAAAAAAAGGTGAACAGAATCTGTAAATACACCTGTATTATTTAGAGAGGAATCACTAATATGTGATGATTTCTGAGAACGACAGAGTACAGGGGGATGTGCACAGACTGGTAATCTTTTGGGTGATGGGTGGTTCTGAAAAACCTATTCCCGTAACTGAGATGAACTGCGCTGCCGAGACTGGCATTGTGAAGCTTGAATTATGCTGCTCAGCTCAAAAGCATAGGGAAGTGCCCCAGGGGCAGGTTGGCTAAAGTTATCCGGGTATCGCAGCTAGGGCTTCCGATGCTCCAGTCTCAGGGATCTGCATCCGTACATGGACAGTGGCTGCCGGGGACGCCCTGGTAGGGAAGGACAAGACTTGTGCTCCTCCTGGAGCCCTCTCCAGAGTTGGGTTACCTTCACGGAGGACCTTGGTAAATCTCTTTGCCCCTTCCCACTGCTAATGTTAAGGCAGTTGCAAGAGAGGTGGAAATGGCAACCACTTCCTGCAAGTCTTCCAACCAGTGGAAAAGCGAAGAGGTGAAGTGTAGATTTCTTAGGGTGGAGAAATTATCTCCAAACTGACAGCAGGGGGAGACTTCAGAAGGCAGAGTGGTTGTCCTTACCATGCTGAAGACACTACCAGATGAAATTTGTGGATGGTGACTATGCTAGTCACTTATGTAAAAACAGCCATCAGTGTCTCTCTCTCTCTCTCTCTCTCTCTCTCTCTCTCTCTCTCTCTCTCTCTCTCTCTCTCTCTTTCTCTCTCTCATTTTTACACCCAGGGGACTACGTAAGACCTAATGATTCCGAAGTGCATACTCCAACATGGCCAGTTTTGATGCATTATATACTTCTCAACCACTTTCCTTATTGAATATACTTCTTAATTTTTATCTTTATTATTGGGGCATCAAGGCAATGCTGATTACTCAGAGTTATTATGTAAGTAAGAGTTAGGAGAAATGTGCAAACGTAAAATATTACACTTTTCTTACCTGCCAGCCCGCTTATTCCAACTAATCCAGCTGAACTTGCAATGCAGACCAAGTGTCCATGGGCATTAGCGATCATGGCCGGTAGAAAGGCTTTATGAGTCTAAGACAAGCAAAGTGAAACTTTTAGTATTTGATACCATTTACTCTTTTTTCAGATGTTTATATGATCATTGTTATTAAAATTTTTTTTAAGCTCATAAAAATACCCGAAGGCAATGCAATAGAAAAACTTAAGTATCTGGAAAGTAACCGTCTTAACTTGTTTAACCTATGACATTAACATTTTCCTCATGGCATACCAATATTATTACAAATGATTTACTCAAACTTATATTTTGCTCATATTTGATTTTTCAAAATACAATATTAACATAACAACGGAAGCAATACAGAAGAATCTTAGCTGTAGGCAGCCACAATCCAGAAAGAAAAAGATATCATTATTTAGGTTATAGTCAAGACTAAGATTATTTAGATTTCTATTGCTCTTTCTCCCCTGGGATCATATTTGAATTTCAAATTTTTTTTTGAAAAGCGTTTACAGGACATGCTGTTGTTGTATTTGGTGTAAAATATCCCTTTGTTTTACATTTATCTCTACTTCTTTGAATAATAGTTTCTTAATTTTGTTCTATGTCATAAAAGAGAATATCTGTTAGAAAGAGCTGATGGATACTGTGTTTGAGGATCACAGAGCACCTTCACTTTTGATAATGGGATTTGGAGAAAGAAGATAAAGGAAAGAGCAATTAGCTTTGAGAGAAAATGTATTCTGCAACAGAGAAATAATTAACCAATACGAATAACTGCATTTTATTTCACAAATTTATATTTCATATTTGTTTCCTAATATAAACAAATATGAGAAAAATAATCCCTTGTAAAAGTCAACCAACCTTTGTTTGTCTGCATCATCATGAGTTTCAGAGAGAACCTAACCCTTACAGAGAGATGGAAAATCAAAACAAGCAGCATAATAAGACACCCCGGGGTCTGCTCTGAGTCACTTCTCCTTGGCGACACTCCCCTTGGCAGCCTTGTCACCGCGTGCTCTCTGACCCTCCAGCAAGTAAGTGCCTACTCTGTGCAGTACTCAAAGAAGGCACCTGGACTTGCTCAGAGTGACAGACGGTACAGAGTGAGAGAGGGTGTGAGGGCAGGGGCCAGCAGGGAAACAGCAGTATTTCAGGAACATCTAAAGAAAGTGTAAGAGAAAGAGGAGACCATGAAAGAGACTAGGAAAGCCGAGAAGTGGGAAAAGAACTGGAAAGCTCCGGGAGTGGAGACTTTCAGGGAGACTGTCTTTATCTTCATTCTGACGGTATATTCCAGTGGTCGGCAAGCTCATTAGTCAACAGAGCCAAATATCAACAATACAATGATTAAAATTTCTTTTGAGAGCCAAATTTTTTTAAACTTAAACTTCTTCTAACGCCCCTTCTTCAAAATAGACTCTCCCAGGCTGTGGTATTTTGTGGAAGAGCCACACTCAAGGGGCCAAAGAGCCTCATGTGGCTCTCGGGCCACAGTTTGCTGGCCACGGGTATAATTCCAACTTCATTCTAATGAAGCGGAGAGGCATTTGGGACAAGACCACGTAAGTCACTTGCAGTAGTTCCTGAAGGAGCATGGTGGCCACTTAGTTCTGAATCTTTCCATCTTTCTCCTGAACACTAAAGAGAACCCCAAGAGTAACACCAGCACCATGGCATTTTTGGCGAAACTAGGAAACAGAAAACATCTGAAGGCTGTGCAAGGAGAGTTGGGTGGAAAGTCCACATGGAGAGGTGTGAGGAGAATGGAGGGGATCTCAGAAATCTCCAGCAAATAATCACTCTCAGAAGCAGAGCTGGACAAGGGAAGGATGAGCTATGAGTGGGGCAGGAACAAAATGGGCTCACGTTCTGGGAGAGGCAGAACAAGGAACCGTGCCTGGCATGGGGCAGCCTGACATGACTGCTCTCAGCAGCAGCCAGGAAAACACAAGGTCTGAAAGTGGACACACGGCTGTGCTCCTTGATGTCCATAGCACGTGGTGACCAGGGTTATTGTAGGGTTATTGGTATTGATTGACTCAGGAAACCAAATGTTTTGGTTTGCTTAGAACAGACCTGGTTAATGGTGCTGATTTTTTCAAAAGAGTTGCAGCTTAGGCAAATGGTAAGGTCACCCTGGTCAAGTCTAAGAGCTGTCACTTGCGGTATAGCTTTGAGTAAGTCTTTTAATTTTTGTGATTGCTTATCTCAAGGAGCTGTTTTAAGGCCTATGCCTGATGTACCTAGGACAGTGAATAAATGATAGTAGTTCCATGAGGATAGTGTAGGATTTCTCTGGCGAGTTCTGGGAGGTGTGGGTTGAGTTGGATTGGGAGAAGATGACCGCGTAGACCAGGATAAGCTAAAATTGAGAAGGCTGTGCTTGATTTAGAGGCTAATCTTTGTTATGAAAAGAAAAAAAAATTATTACCCACAAATGCGCTTTGAAATTCACATCAAAGGACTTTTCCATAAGCTCATCTGGGCAGTTGAGGAAGCTTTTGCCTGTTACGATGCCAGCATTGTTGATTAGGATGGAAACGTCTCCAACTTCTTTTTTAACCTGAATTGAGTAACAAGAGCAGCACCATCAATGGAGTAATTTTTTAGAGGCTCTAGGTTTAATTTCCCCCCAACTTTATACACCTCTTATCCTTGTTAACAGAGACCGAACTTATACAGTCTGAAAACAAAGCATGGTTTATTTCCTTTGCTGAGTGTACAGTGCATCAGCGATCCAAGTCTGATGCTTTTTTTTTTGTTTGTTTCTTCTTCTCCTTATGATAATTCCAACAATCCAATGCTTCTTTCCTTCTACATTTAGAGCTATTCTTATATTCAGTGCATAGTAACTTTATTCTATGCTCTAAGAAGAATATAATTTTAATCAATGTGATGGGACATAAGCACTTATAGCCATCCTATATAATAAAAGCCTAATATGCTAAATGTCTGGTTGTCATGTCACCCGTTCAACTAATCAAAGCATAATATGCTAACGATATGCTAAGGCTGCTCAACCCCTTTCTATGAGGTGCCCTGACCACCAGGGGTTAGTCGTTCTGACAGGTAGGTTATCTTGCTGATGGGGTCCGGCCAATCAGGACTGAGCTAGATGGGCTGGATATGCCCTAAAGCTCTCCACTGTCCCTCCATAGCTAACTAACCTCCTGAGTCCCTCCCCAGCCCCGATCGTGCACTGGTGGGGTCTCTAGGCCTGGCCGGAACCCTCTCACAATCTGGGACCCCTCTGGGGATGTCAGAGAGCCAGTTTCGGCCCAATCCTACAGGCCAGGCTGAGAGACCCCACTGGTGCATGAATTCATGCACTGGACCTCTAGTGTCATATATATCAAAACCTAGCAGACATAGAGATGAGGTGGTGTAGGGAGTGAATGGAGGAAGTATGATATTCATCATATCCATGCTTTCAACATCTTTCAACATCAGAACCTGTCCATCCTGTTTTCATCAACTGGCTGTTTTTTTTCTCCCTCCCCCAAACTTTCAGGCATAAGATCTGTGAACGAAGGAACAAGTAGGCCACATTTGCTTCGATGATACTGGGCTTACAATAACTTGAATGGTCATCCTGGGATGAGAGTAAGTTTGTGTTGTTGTATAACGGGCTCAGGGGTAACAGCTAAAGGAAAATGCAAAAGATCCTGATTTTATAGTTAGATCCTTCCCTCCTTCCTTCCCTCCCTCCCTCCCTCCCTCCCTCCCTCCCTCCCTCCCTCCCTCCTTCCTTCCTTCCTTCCTTCCTTCCTTCCTTCCTTCCTTCCTTCCTTCCTTCCTTCCTGGCATTCATTATTCTTCCTTGTTGTAAGAATGTGGCAGCAGTCTATTCAGTCCTGAGTCACAACTACCAGAAGACTTGCATACAAGCTGTTCCCACCTTTCGAACATCCACGCTCTGACAACAAGAACCCACAGGAAGGCTGTGCGTTTCAGTGTCTAACTCCACACTGCCCAGGATAGCTGATTTGACTTTCCCACCACTATAAGCCATAGTGGGCATTAGGTTCAAGTCAACGTTTACCAGTGACCATGTAGTTTAAAAGATGAAGCAGTCCTGAAGTCTGACCTTGGATATCTGGAATCACTAATAAACCTTAAAAAAAATTCACAGATACTACAAATACAAACACACCTCATTTTTACAAATAAGGCAAGATCCTTCACCAGCAAAAAGATTACAATTCACTTTATTGAGTGGTCTGCAACTGAACCTTCAATGTCTCAGGGGTATGACTGTAACTTTTTTTTTTTCCTTTTTTTTCTGTTGAACCAATGCAATTAGAGGTATCCCAAGCAAAATTGATCATGATTTGGCTTGTCTAAGGCATCACAGTCATTAAATATATAATTAGGACACTTCCACATGCCACATTAATGATAAGACTGTAGCTCCAGGCTGATCTTATGTTTACTGTTACAAATGACCTCTCACCCAGAATGCCAGGGATCAAGGCTGGACTTTCAGTGAAGCTTTCAAGGTTATTGGAGTCTCCGAGGAGCTAAAACACTGTCAAACTGCTCTGACAATTTTCACCTGGGTCACTCCTCTATGGCAAACTTCGTAAAATTTCTCTGGTAGCTTCCCTCTATCCAGAATAAGAAGTAGAAGTGCTTAGTTTTTAAGGTGGAAAGTAGTTTGCTTCTCTTGAATACAAAAGAGCATATGCCTAATTGTCTGCAAGACCCAGAAGAAAATGAAATACTAGGCTAGTAAATGCACCTTGTTTGACCATTTCCAAAGCTGAGCATTTTGGGCAGAACTAAATTAAGTATATGGAGCAGAGGGAACTAATTATTTATGGAGCGCCTCACCTTAGCTTGTTCCACAGGTGAAGATGCTGTGTTTGAACACAAGCCAGTTATTGCTTAAGACCTGCCAGGGAAGTTATCTGTAATCAGTGTACGTCAACCTGCCAGGTGACCGGTGCTTTTAGGACAAAGAGCTGAACTTGTGAGGTCAGCTCTGAAAAAGACACAACTGCTCTTTTTGCAGGGTGGTCCCAGCAGAAGCCTATGTTAGCTTGTTAGGTATGGGTCTCCAGACTGTTCTCAGCAGCCTGTGATTGAGATGGTAGAACAGATGTGTAAAATGTAAAAGACAAACTCAAATGAAAGTTTCAAATTCACTCAATAGCCAGTGGCCTGCAAACCTTCCCACTAGTTTTGAGCAGAGAACCTGTGCAAGAACTTTCCAATGTGGTTGTTTGCTTGTCACAAGCTCGGTCTAGTTCCCCCCTTCTCACTAAATGAGGGAACCCCGGAGTCACAAAAGAAGTGGCCCTGGAGAGTGGCGTGTAGAATACTTGTGTCAATATGAAGAAAGATTAATCTTAATAAGGAAAGAAGACAGCCAACAAACAAGTAAGTTCCTCTACGAACTAAGAAAACCCTACCATTGGCATATTGAAGCTTTGGTTTCCTGGAATTGTTCTAAATATGTGCATCTCTGTCACCGCTAAAGGAACAACTGAGGTTAACAGTCTTTAGGATGAATAAAATATTCTGATTTTCTCATGACAACTTAGGAGAAATACACATGCAAATCAAAGGCACTGTGGTGGAGTGGAAATAGCTGGATTTAAAATTAGACTAAAAATGGGTTTACATCCTGGCTTAGTCTTGCAGATTCATATATCTGTGCCTCAGTTTCTTCATCCTCAAAGATGGTGCTATTACCTATCTTATGTTATGATAGGGGCCAGCACAGTCAGTTTAGAGTGGTGGTTAGAGTGAGCCAACAGGCTCCTGTTCCAGCTGTCACTTTGCTACATAACGTATTATTTTTTTCTTAGGTAAGTTATTTACCTGTCCTAAGTCTTGGTTTTCTCATTTGTGAAATGGAGGTGCTAATTGGTTTTACTTTATAGGATTATAATATACGATGCATACAGGGTGCTTAACATGGTGCATTGCAAACATTCTAATTTCCACTCCCCCAAACTTTTAATTAAAAGAACATTGGAGATAGGCAAATTGGCACTAAGAAAAGCAAACAGATAAACTGATACAGGTCCAAGTATTTACATAGAGTTCTGACTACCCACAGCAAAGAGTAAGCGCCCAAAATTTACCTGGTCGGCTACTCGATACACCTCTTCCTTTCTACTGCAGTCACAGGTGTAGGCATAGGCTCTTGTGGCTCCAGCGTCCTGAGCCATCTTGCACGTCTCCTCATTCCCCTCCGTGTTGATGTCCCAGAGAACAAGCACAGCTCCAAGGCGGGCAAACTGAAAGGCTAAGAGCCTTCCGAGTCCACTCCCAGCACCAGTTATGAGTATGATTTCACCAGCAACATCCTTCCTTGGCTTTGGGATTAAGGTGAAAATCGCAGTCTCCAGAAGACTAAATACTGATTTCCCTAAGAAAATGAGTAATTTCTTGGTTGACTTCATGTTGGGAGCCATATTCTGACAGAAACCTATGAAGACAGACAGACAAACTCATGTAAAGACCTTGGTGTCTGCTCCCTCTAAGTGTGCTTGCTACATGGAACTCATGCTTCCTGAAACATTGAAAGAAATTGAGAAGCATGATTTAAACATCTCTCCTGGTAGCAGACTCTAAACTTAGAGAAAGTAGGGGACCCACTGGGACTGACTCTTGGCCAGCACCAAGATCACACATCTGCATGCCCACTTAGCTTTGTTCATGAACAAATGTTCATTAACCAGGAACTGTAACTACATCCAAATTTAACCCAAAGAAGACATTCATTCTCAGAGCGAACCTTTTCTCCTAATAACCACGAGTCCTATTGGCTGATTTATGTTCAAAGTCTTGAGCATATCGAAATGTTGATGACATAATTGCTACATCTTTGCTTTTATTTCTGTCTCCTTTTAGGTTCGTGTTTTCTCATTTGCATTGTTGTTCTTAAATTCTGTGTCACTATTTAAAATGTGAGATTCAAGAGAAAAATATAAAATCCTATTTGCATAACATACTTTAAGAAGACTAATTAGACATTGTAAACCAGTGGTTCTCAACCTTCCTAATGTCTCGACCCTTTAATACAGTTTCCTCATATTGTGGTGACCCCCAACCATAAAATTATTTTCGTGGCTACTTCATAACTCATTTTGCTACTGTTATGAATCATAGTGTAATTATCTGTGTTTTCCGATTGTCTTAGGCTCTACAGCAGCGGTTCTCAACCTGTGGGTTGAATCTAAACCTTTTCTGAGGAATTCACTGTCAGGTCTGGGGACCCTATCCCTTGCCGCTCAGATCTATGGTTGTGGGACATCAGTGAGAGACAGGTCTGGATTCCTGTTCTGCCCTCCCCTGCCTGGCTGTGAAACCTGGGGCACACTCCATAGGCTCTCTGGCGAGGTCTCCTCACCTCTACTCACTGGTCCTGTGGCACAGAGTAGTTTTGCAGTTGAAAAAAAAAAAATGTCATGTGCTTGACCCATGCTGGCTCACAATGCTTTACCAACGTTATCATGCTTCTCAGATTCACGCGGCTGCTCACCACCTAGGTGAATGAATAACAAATCTCTTCCTGACAAGTGCATTCTGTGCTTCACACTTACATCCTGTTATCCGTTACTTGCACTTCAGTAGAATGAGTTTATAATATGCTTTAGTAATAACCCTCTGGGGGGGGGGGAGGAAGGAAGGTCTGATTTCCTCCGGGATGAAAAGATGTGTTTAGCAGGGGGCATGCTGTGGTGGGGGTGGGAGGGTTTCCTGAGTGAGGAGCTATAGAGAACAGACAGAGGAGGGCAGGCAATGTCCATGAAAGGACAGCAGGTCCTCCCTTTGCAGTTTGTTGAGGATAAACTAGTTACTATCGATGACTATGAGTGGAGAGGGTCATTTAGAGGAGGGCTTGGAGTGTGGTTGCACCCTTCAATTATTGTGACCAAAACTGCTGTCCCTTGGCTCACTCCACAGAAGAGACTGAGGATCAGGAAGAATGTGCGTGCTGTTTATCCAAGGCCCCTGTGCTAGCTGGTGCAGGACTGGGTGTTCATTTATCATATGTGTTGAGCATTGGTGCTGGGCACTGGGCCTTCGGGGATAGGCAGCCTGGTGAGCTAAGGTATTCTCTGGCCTGCTGAGCTAAGGATCTAGTTGAAGAGATAGACATTAAATGAATAAATACATCATCACAACCCATCTATTTCTTTATATAAAAGCTGACGTGACCGAATGACCGTTTGATCGTTTGACACTGACTACCAGGGGGCAGAAGCTCAATGCAGGTGCTGCCCCCCCTAGTGGTCAGTGCTCTTCCACAGGGAGAGCACCGCTCAGCTGACTGACAGGCATCAGATGCTGGGCTCATGGCTGGCAAGTGCAGCTCCGTGAGGTGAACCTCTCCCTCTCCCGCCTCTGTAGCAGCGCACTGCGCAGGGGCAGGTACAGCAGGGCTGGCATGAGTGGGAGTGGCCTGGGCTCAGGCTCCTCCCCAGCCACTTGCTGCTTGGTGCACTCCTACATCCCTTGGGGGATATTGGTCTGCCAGTTTTGGCCCGATCCCCAGGGATTGGGGGAAACCAGCCACCCAAATCAGCAGTCTGACTTCCCCAGAGGGGTCCTGATTGCTACAGGGTACAGGCCAGACTGAGGGACCCCAAATTTGTGCACCAGGCCTCTAGTAGGTTTATAAAGAAAAGTGCAGGGAGCTATACAGAATGGAAAGGAAATATAATTTAAATTGTGGTCAAGGTGGGAAGCACTAGGAGAGGTTTTCGGGGAATGGACATTTGAGTGGATATTCATATGACGAATGGTGAGAGGTAGACAGATTTGGGAGTAGCTCACCCAGTAGAGGGACATAAGAGTTTAAGCATTAAGGAAGGTTTTACCTGTGTGACCAGGGAATAAGAATGCTGGCAGTGGGGGGAATGTATATTCTGGTTAAACAAAGAGTGTTTTCTGCTGTGGCATACCGGGTTTCACCATCCTTGGAATGAAATGGCCTTCACACTCTCTGGCATCTTTGTTCAAATTTATTTTCACAGAGTAGCTTGGGTAATTGCTTGGGCGTTCCAGGCCCTGACAGGGGAACAGTGGTATTCAGACTCTTATATTAAACTAGAGGCCCAGTGCATGAAATTCGTGCATGGGGGAGATGGGGGTTGTCCCTTGGCCCAGCCTGCATCCTCTCCAATCTGGGACCTCTCAAGGGATGCTTGACTGCTCGTTTAGGCCCTATCCTGATAGGACAGGGCCTAAACGGGCAGTCAGACATCTCTCTCACAATCCAGGACTTCTGGCTCCCAGCCACTTACCTATCTGTCTGCCTGATCACCCCCAACTTCCCTTTCCTGCAGGCCTGGTCCCCCCCAACTGCCCTTCCCTGCAGGCCTGGTCCCCCCAAACTCTTCTCCCTGTCCCCCAACTGCCCTCCCCTGTTGGCCATCTTGTGTCCACATAGGGGCAGCCAACTTTGGCCACATGGGGGCGGCCATCTTGTATGTTGGAGTGATGATCAATTTACATATGACTCTTTTATTAGATAGGATAGTCATGGGGTGTGTACCTGCAGACCTGCTAGGATGAGGGTCAGATTTTCTACAGTAATGTGACACCCCAGGCACCCTCCCCAGGCAGCAGCCTAGGCACTGCCAACACTCCTTCCACAAGAAAGCCAATCCCAGGCCACCCATGCCCCTTTTAGGCACACCACTACCTAATTCCTAAGGGAAGCTGTGAGAATTAAATGAGTTAATGCAGGTGCACTAATAAGGAGTGTTATATGGTTATATGGTCAGTACTACCACATATGAAATTTTGGAGGGGGGGGGCAGGGAGAAGAAGGTCCTCATTGCCCTCTCCAGGGTGCATGGGCTGGGGGTGGGATGGGACAAGAGGAGCTGGGCTAGATTTCAGGGCCTGCCAGGTTACAGGCCTTGGTAGAACAGTGCTAGGTACATAACAACAGCAAAATAAATATCTGCTAGAGCTATGACTGGTGTTATTTCCAGCATGGGAGTTCATGATCCCTGGCTATACCAATTAAAGATGGTTATAGTAAGTATGCTTACAAACAGAAGTAAAGCATTAAACTATAAAGTCCCATTTTAGTGTAAACACTCTTCCTTACATTAGGAAATGACAGCTTACTAAATTTAATCTGGCCCACGCCTGGCCAGTGTGGCTCAGCAGGTTGGGCATCGTCCTGTGCACTGAAAGAAAGGTTGTCAGTTAGTTCCATTGGGTTGAGGCACATCCCTGGTAGGGGGCGAGCAGAAGGCGGAGTATGGTTCTCTCTCTCTCCCAAAACTGATAAAAACACTAAGAAAGAAAACTTAAATTTCATCAGGCTAAGGACTTCTTTGATGACTCCATCCCATATCCTAGTCTCCTAGTCCTGTGGTGGGCAAACTGCGGCTCGCAAGCCACATGCGGCTCTTTGGCCCCTGGAGTGTGGCTCTTCCCCAAAATACCAGGGACTGGGCAAGTCTATTTTGAAGAAGTGGAGTTAGAAGAAGTGTAAGTTTGAAAATTTGTCTCTTCGAAGAAATTTCAATCGTTGTACTGTTGATATTTGACTCTGTTGTCTCATGAGTTTGCCGACCCACTGCCCTAGTCCAAAAGCTGAACGAAGCTGGAGCAATGGAAACAGGTGATGGGTACTTCACAGGCTGGGGGGCGGCAGCAAGGAGGTCCTGGGAATGGGAAGGGTGAGGGCCCAGGGGGGATTGGGAAGGGAGAGGAAGCTGCATCCAGCAGCAGGGAGCAGGGCACCTAGGCTGAATGGGCCCAAGAAGGGACCAGGGAGTCACCTGCTCTCTGCTCCGGGTGGGGGAAGGAGGCAAGCAGCTCACCCACAGGGGCTGGATGCCACCGGGCCTGGATGCGGGGCGCTCTTTCGGACTCGCCCCGAGCTCCTCCCGCGCCGCCTCCCCAGAGCTGACAGCCCGGGCTCTGCGGGCTGGGGAGCCTCCGGCGCCACTCCTCCAGAGGTCCTGCCCGGTCCCGGACCCGGACTTCGCCAACTCACCAGGACCCGTTGTCCTCGCCGCGCGGAGAAGCCACCAGGTCCTCCTCGGGCTCCGCAGCTCTGGCCGGGGCCCCAGGCTCCGGGATTTATCGGCACCTGCTGCAGAGGGCGTCGGAAGGCGGGACGGCCGCGCCCCCGCGGGGGTGTGGGGGGTCGGTGCGGGGCTCCCGGTGCCCAGTGGGTCCCGCTCCCTCCTTTCCTCCCGGCGACTAGATGGAGAGGCTGGGGATGAGATCCAGCAGAGCCGATGAATTCAAACGCGAGAAGCGCCCGCGTAAGTTCAAAATGCCCAGCGCCAGGCTGCTCCCCGGACTATGCAATCAGAGTTTCCGAGTAGGAAGGACTCCGCTCGGGAGGGAGGGAGCCCTGGTGCTGGAGAACAAAGAGGGAGGCGGGTGCGGAGGCCATGCGGGGGAGGGAGCCGGTCCGGCCTGGGCAGCCGGCCGC